GGGGGGGGGGAAGTGGAGAGGAGGACGAGGCCGCTATCTGGGGGGCATGTTCTGTAGAAGAAAAGAGAAAATAGGACATGATTTAAGATTCTTAATATTGATCCACACTGAAAAACATCTTTCACTTACAGTGGGGGAAATAAGTATTTGACCCCTTGCTGATTTTGCAGGTTTGCCCACTTACAAAGAATGCAACGATCTATAACTTTAATCATATGTACATTCTAACAGTGAAAGACAGAATCCCAAAGAAAATTCCAGAAAATCACATCATATGAATTTATAAAAATTGATAAACATCTGATGAGGAAAAATAGGCATTATTTGTAAGTGGGCAAACCTCCAAAATCAGCAAGGGGTCAAGTACTTATTTCCCCCACTGTATGTTGCATTCAAGGTCCCGCCACTTTTTTTTTCTCCTCAACTTGTGGGGTAGGACACCAAATGCACCCCCAATAGGGCAACAAAACCACTGCTCCCTGATCCCTAAAAGATGGCCGCACCAGTCTTTTAGGATTTAGGACTCACGAGACAATCCATTTCTTATATCAATCAAACGCAACAGCACAAACAAAGGTTAAGCCGGGCTCCAGTTTATGAAGTTTCCGGCAACCTCGCATTTGTTTTGGGGTAAATACGAGAGCAACCGACGAAAAACAAAGGCACCTGCAGAACCTCCAACGGGGAAAACTCAAGCCAAAACAGGGAGGAAAAAAAGAAACCGAAGCTCTGTGGTCTGAGAGGCATTGTCCTGCATGTGGGCAGCCAGTTCCACTGGCCGTCACGCCGGCTATTCAGCAGAAAGCATGTCCACAACACCAGCAGATGACTGAATGCAGCAGGACACCCTCGGAGGATTTCCTCAGTGCTACAAAAAAAAAAGAAAAAAAAGGACCTGGGTGGCCATCCCCTGCTAAATAATATATCTGCTGCGCTATTTTTTTGGGCCTGCGAGAAGCATACATTAAGCGTCCAGCCGCAGCAACTCCCAGAGAAGCCGCAGTTTGCCTTTGTGCGGCAAGTTTACCACATTTGTGAATGAATGGACCTCACACCTCTTATGCAAATGCATTTGGACATCCAAATCCGGGAGATTCGTTTGACCAAGAAATCAATTTAGAGTAAAAACACAAGAAGAATGTCCAAAAAAAGGCCAGGTTTTTATGCTTTGAGGGCTAGGCCCTGGTTGGCGTTTGTGAAAAGCCTGAAACAACTCATCGGCAAAGTGTGGCGGGGAAACTTTTACGACTTCAGTTTCCACAAAAAGCCACAATCTGCAGCATCTCGAGCGAGCCCTCGCTCACACGTTTGTTTGGCGTAGGAGGTCTCTCTGCGCCATCTAAAATTAGCCGCGTGGTAAATTCTTTATGAACGCACCGGGCCCTCGACAGGAGCATGAAAGAAGGAAAAAAAAAAGAAGAAAAAAAGGGCAACAGCGCATTTCCATCTCAGCCTTTTGTCATTTTCTTCGTCTGACTCAGAGTCTGCCGCTCCCCGTGCAATAAAGAATAAATGAATAAAGACAAATTCCTCTGCTTTACTTAACATGGAATTACCAGAGGCCTTATTTAATATGCCGCATCTTGAATTATTCTGTAATAGCTGCACAGACTGCATGTTTCGTAGTTATTGCATCAGTCTGCTGAGGGGGAAATTTTAGCACGGGTGGCATGTTGTAAATGTCGGTGCATCCGATACTGCGCCAGCACCAGTCTTAATACAGCCGAGGTGAAAATCCAGCTCCAAACCCCATTCATCCTTGACATAACAGAGTTGTATTTATCCTGCTGCTTTTAAAATGACACCAGGCTTGGTCACCATGGACAGTCCAGATTACATTCTTAACAAATGGTGTTTTCGGAGAGTTGCACCAGTGGACCAGGCAAAGGCACTTTTTCTGGTCATTTCTTCTATATTCCACCTGCACTACTGTATAAAACAAATGTGTTATGCAAGCTGTAAAAAAGGTTTTGCTATTTGGAATGGATTTGTCTCTTCTCTTGATTGTAAAGCAAAGAATTTTCCATAATTTAAACTCAATAGTTTTATCATTTTGGAAGACCAATGAAGAATATGTTACTTCTTTTTAATGACATAACTGCACTTCCTTATTTCCTAAAGTTTACCTGATCAATATCTACCACTAACTTGGGGATGAAACCAATAGTGTCAGTTTTGTTTACACAATTTTTAGTGACCGTCCAGAAATTCATCCTTCCCTCCTGTGGAAACTACTGTCAATAAGAAGGGTTGTTATACTAAAGTGAAAGTCCACATGAAATACTGGAACTCTACACAGCTTTGTTGTCTAAAAGCCCACCGAGCAAGAGTCCAAGTCAGTAATTAGGGGAAGAAAAAAAAAAACATCTGTGCTAATTACTGAAAATGATAGGATCTCTGTTCCAAAATGTGTGCTGCCCAAACAGATAAACAGCACAGGGTAAATATTCCATTTGCTCTCTCCTTTGCATTAAACAGAAACAGAGGGAGGCTACTAATAATTTAAGAGAGCTGTTATGTGAAAAGTGCACTGAGAGCATGTTATGAGGGGCAGCACATTTCGCCGTGCCGTTTATAGCAGAGTGTTGCATACGGGCTAAAATAAGGCACATTATATGGACACGGACAAAAATTCAAGCGAAATGAGTCAGCAGAAGCAGCTGGAACAGTGGAACAAAACAAAGGTACACTTGATGGAGGGAAATCCTGTCCATTTTTCTTTTTCAAAAAAAGGCGCAAGTGCGGACGATAAACGACACAATAAAGCAATAGGAAGAGAATTTTTTATGCGTGTTAAAGCAAGTGTTAAGTTAAGCTGTGGACAGCTGGCGGAGGCTAATAGAAAAGAGGCGGCTCTGCGGGGGTTTTAAAGCCCATCAGGGCCTAAACCTGCTGTCTAGTGTCGGCGTGTGTCTGCTCCCGTCTTCTTCTTTCTCCCGCTGAGCCCCGCGTGTGGGCGTTGCTCACTCCACACGAGCCCTGCTGGCCTGCCTCCAGTCCGAGCCCGCGGGAAAAAGACGGCAAAAGGAATCCGCACGTACAAATAGTTCCAGCGGACACATCGAAAATGAGACGCATCACCTGTGTGGCCTTTATCATCCTGCGAATGAAATGTCAATCCGAATTCACCGCGTCCAGGCCATATGTTAGCGAAGAGCAACCCCATCCAAAAGCTTTTCCTTTCTGCCCTCTCCTTTCCCTTTGTCATCTCCCATTCTTCCTCTCTTTGAGGGTGACATTTCGCTCCTACAACCCCCCTCTGACAGTAACATCTGTCATCTTTCCTTGCCATTCGTCACCGTCTACTTCTTCCATCTATAATCCCCATCTGTCTCCTCCATCCTGCTGATGCTTTCGCTTTTATTTGAAGAAAGAAGTGAGTTATCTTAGTTACATATTCCTTCTTTGATTCTGATTAAGATATTATTCTTTAAGTCTCGACAAATTAGCTGAAGCAATTTTCCCAAACGCTATTGGAACTTTATCTGTTGACATCCTCCTTCTCTACATTCACATTTACATTCTAACAGTTCTTCTTTTCCAAGGAAAAAGCTGGCTTAAGGGGAGAGGTGGGATGAGTTGGTATGGGGTAAAACTCTGGAGATATTGGGAGACTTAGGAGTAGTTCGGAATCGGTCGCCAGCCCAGTAGAAAACACAAAATAAAATAAAAAGTAACAGTGTCATGCAGGTTCTGCATGTATGACCGAACCACTCACGGTTCAGACGTTAAGCATGTGAGCAAATACACATTCAAATGCAAAGCTTGACTCCAAACACACCGAGGGGCCCTTAGGCAGAGCAAAGTTTGCTCCAGTTTTATGTCGAGAGCTTCTGAAGACTGAGAAAAAAAAAAGAGACAGGCCGGGATAAAGGGAGCTAGCGCTGCCAGTTCACATTCAGAGCACTAAACTCATCGTCTCATCCCCCTGCGTCAGGAAGTAGGTCAGTGGAGAAGCTGGGGGGGGGGGGTGTACTGAGGAAGGGACGGGCTGCTGCTGCTGGTTTTGTGTAATTGTGACAGCGCGCTGCTAGGAGACAGAAGTGGAGGTGTATATCTGTCAAACATCTGTGCCTGTTTAATCTAAATGATCTCCCTCCGCATCTGCCAACATAATACTTCCCGTTCTGAGCAGAAAAATCCAAATTAAAGCAACTGCTCTTTCGATTCCTGTTCATTAAACTTGCGCACACACGGATAATATTTTTCCCAGCGACACTTCGTATTAATCGCTCTCAGTTCCGCGCCGCTTTCTCTCAGCCCACCCTCTTCCTTCCACATTTTCAAACAGTTCTGGTGTGGATTCTAATCAAACCCCTTTTTCCCATCTGAAGTTACGGACGGGGGAAAGAATGACAGGAAAAAACAGGCAGCACCACAATAAAACTGCTAACAAGCAGAGCGGGTGAATACAAAAAAAAAAAAAAAAAAAAGGATTCTGAGCAGGATCTGAATAAAAGATCAGAGCTGAGCCTGTGGCTCACACTCTGCACACACATTGTTTCAGAGTTCCACAAATGAGGACCATTCCTGCAGGGTGCTGGGCCATGGAAGAGGAGGAGGAGGAGGAGGAAGAGGAGGAGGAAAAGGCAGACTTGCGTAAGCTCCCAGTCCTGGAGATGGAGGAGCAGTGCCACGCTGGCACAGACTTGACCAGGACGCCAAAAACGCAACCCAGATTAAAAAAAGCGACTCGGTTCTGGCACCAGAAAATGGCAAGGTCGGGGCACAGTCCAGCTGCTCGGAATCAGTGTCTCGTTGATGTGGTGACTTCAGTATTTTTTCAATTTTATAGCTTCGTTAGCGACACTGGAAATTAAACGCATCACCCACAGGGAGACAAAAACATGGCCCAATCAACTCCCAGTCTCCCAGCAGCACGCAATTGTGTAG